CGAACAGTGACGTTTGCAGGCCAGATCTCAGGCTTAAGCAACTTGGGAAACAAATCCTCGGCGACAGCTAGTTTGAAGTTAACATGTTCTAAATCATCCATTGAGGCATCTTTCTTGACGAGCTTATGACAAAGTAGCGACTGTTTTTTGATACCTGAGTGTTTTTCCACATATTCGAGTATGTCATTACAGCCTACAGAAGGCTTGAAGGAAGCTAAATGAAGCCACTTCTTACGAACAGCAACCTTCTTAAGAACAGCAACATTCAGTTCAGTGTTAGTATTTGAACCAATAACACTCAAATCATTGATTCTCTTGCCATTCGGATTAACGACTTTGCTGCGATCGTTATTTACTTGGTGGGCTGCGTTGTTACGGACGTCTACGGCTGGTACTCCAGGCGGAGGAATTTCGGCAGACCCTAACGCATCAGCATAACTCAGCCTAGAGACATTGCGAGTGTCAACGCCGAGTACACTATCCACGGCCGGAGAGGTAGAGCGAGATGATATTGTTTTATTATGTGTGTGTAAGGGTTTGTCAGGCGGTGCATTGGCGACTGCACTAGTAGAATTAAAAACAGTGTAAACAAGAGAATTAACATTAGGCTGCGAAGCATCGACATCATAATTAGCTGGAGCGGGCTGCGAAGCAGTAACATCAACATTGGCGGAAGCCAGAGAAGCAGAATCTACCTTTGGTGAAGCAGCGGCCGCGATGGCGTTGGTAGAATTTTCTGTTGGTGTGTTAGTACAACCACACTTACAGTGTAGTGCCATTTGGCGCAATTCGTTAACTTCGGCAGTGAGCGAAACAAGAGCAGCGTGAACGTCTTCGGAATCAAGTTTACGCAGGGCTTATAACTCAGAGCGCAACTTAGTTGTTTGTTCAATTAAGAGCTTTTTATCATCTTGAAGAGCATGAAGTTCCGCGACTGCACGCGCTTGCTCAGAACTAAGCGCTTTGAGCTCACTGTGGATCGTTGGTAGAATAGCTAACTGTTGTTTGATGTCTCTACCATAATCATCACACGAAATAAGCATTGTTTTGGAAGTTGTTGTTGCTGTAATATTCTCTAGAGCAGGTGAATTTGACGATGTAGAAGTTTGTTGTTGGTGTTGTTGTTTAGCGTCTCTGCCAGAGTTATCACGCGAAGTAAGCGTTGTTTTTGGCAGCTGTTGTTGATGAGATGAGTTTCAATAATTCGTAATATTAGCAAGAGAAGGCAAATTAGATGACTTATTATTTGAAGTCGCGAATACGGCCCGATTAGTGGAACGCGGGGGAGAGTGAAGAGAAATTCTGCGAACATTCGCGCATTTTTTGCAAACATATTTGTTGTTTGAATTTGAGAAATAGTCTAAATCAGCAGGCAAAACACCAACACAGTTGGGATGGTATATTTCGTTACAATTATTGCATTGCACTTTAGGTTTCGCGCGATCAACTTTTTGGTTGCAAACACACGGCATAGTGATGGATAATATTCATATCAGTTTTATTAGAAACGGCAAGAGTCACTGTCTCATTGCACTAGGCAAAATGTCGAAATAAGAATCACAATAAATTATGTTTATGAGAAATATTTAGAGCGCACTAAAGACACGTCCGCACAGTACACCGACTCAACTTGTTTAAGCTCTACCCAGAATTACAGCGGACGACGGTAAGGCGGTCGGCGGTAAGTGCACAGCTGAATAGTTGCCGCAGTGAAATCCGTCATAGTAAACACAATTACGGCGCACGACGGCTTCCGTCAGTTGTCATTTTGATTTGAAAACTATCAATAAAATTAAATACTTTTTCAGTACATGCCATGATACAATAACTACAGGTATCGTCTTCCCAGAGAGCGCATATTCCGATCTGCCTTATTTGAAAAATATCATTGTTTCCTATACTAAAAGGTTTACTGTAAGGGAAAAGGGATATTTGTGTACACCATATACCATACATGCTCACGTTTTTGTTTTAACAAACCTTCTTGCAGAGAATTTATTTAATTTGCAAAAGCCGAAAAATAAACATTTGCTTAGAGAAGCTTATAGAAGGTGATCGAACCTTCCACTAAGGTTTAAATTAAAGCTAAAACTCTAGACTACTATCCCTGAAAATACCATGCCTGATCCTGACCTAAAGGTCACTTATAGTCATGTATTAAACAGCGAAAACTGATTTTAGCGAAGTTTTAGTACCTACCGCAATTAAACAAAAGGTGATAGAACCTTCCATTTAGGCTCAAATTAAGGCCTAGAGTTTAGCTTTAATTGAAGCCTAAGTAGAAGGTTCTATCACCTTCTATCAGCTTCTCGAATATTGCAAAAAACCCGATTTTTAACGCTTTCACCTAGTTTTTCTCTATCAACCACAGCTATAACATTTTCAGCATAATTTTTTTTTTTAATTTTTGACCTCGTTTTTCTCAAACTCTGGAGCTGATGGAAACTTTTTACTTGCGGATTAATAATTAGCACCAAAAAGTCTATCAAAAACTACTTAAACATTTGCCGCACCAAATTTTTTTCCATTTTTGTTGGCCTGTATAATAATATAAATTAATATAATTAAGAAAAATGGGGTTTTTTTTGAAAAGGGCCCGTTCGATTTTTGATCCAAAAAGTTTGTAATTTCATCGTCTAACAGAATCAGGTCAAAAAACCCATATGCAAGAACCTTTCATTTACGGCTGATTCAGGCACACCGTGTTCCTTACAGAAGTATGATTTTTATGCACCCAAAACAGCTTAAAAAGAACTTCTTCAAAAGGCCTTCAGAAGTATTGCTCTTCTGGAAGCTCTTCTTTGAGTAGCGAAAGCAGAATCCTTTCAATTTGGGCCACTCCGTACAGAAAAAATGACGCGTGTAGCACCGTACACGTGATAGAAGTAAAACTTCTTATAAAAAGTGAGTAGCAGGTACTCACGAAATTTGATATGTAAAGATATGTGTACGGCACGGCAAAGCATTTGGCGATTGAGGTACATACATTTGTAGGTTAGGTTAGAAACTGAACATTAATTTCATTTCATTTCACTGATTTATAATTTATTGATTCATTTTTAATTGCAATTGAAAGTCCAGTAACAACACCTTATATTAGTTCGCCCTGCTAGCATCGTTAGGACCGGGTTATAATGGAGGAAAAGCCCAAAATACAAATAAACAAGGCGAATTCATATTACAACAAACACATCATTTTGACATTCAGAAGAACCGCGGCGAAAATCTGAATTCGGCAGTAACACCACCTTGTACAAATTCGTCTTGACAAATTCCTTTGTGCGGCATCTCCTCGTCTTCTCTTTGCGCAACGTTGTGTTTTATCCAAGGCGAATTCATATATTCTTATCACGAATTCATATATTCTTATCACGAATTCATATATTCATGTTGTGGCAAGAGTATAAAAATATAAAATTACCTAACCTCGGAGGCCAATTCACGAAATAATTTCATGAATTTGAGTAGAAACTCAGTGCATAAACACCATTTCGTGTATAATTGAAATCATGAAATATCGTAGTGTATGAACCAGGGTTGTTGCGAATATTCACATTCGCATTCGCAACCGCGGAGCTTCCGCATTAATTTTAACATTCGCATTCGCTTTCGCATTCGCAAAAATCAATGCGGATCTTTTGCGAATGCGAATATTGAAGGGACCGAAAATTATAGTTATTTTTTTACGAGTTAAACTTGGCCAAATATTTTTTATTCCGAAAAAAACGTACTATCCGGATAATAAACAAACCGCTTATCCAAATTAAACAAGTTTGGTATCCAATGAAAGAGGACTGAAATAGCTTTAAAACTGAAATGTCGAAACGAGGAAAGCCACACATTGAAAAATATTTCAATAAAAAATGTTAATTAATTACCATAGAACAAACATTGGGTCAGGTATGTATTTACATGAATTTCTTTAGTATTAAGTTATAAAAAAATTTAAATAGAGGTGGTAACCTTCATTCGTTATTTCTGTTTAAAAGCTATTCAGTCCTCTTTCATATGATGCCAAATTTGTTTAATTTGCATATTTGGTTATTTTCGGTCCCTGGAATATTGTGCAAGTGCACAGACGTATATCGAACCAGTCACGGAAGAAAGCATTAGAAATGAGTTACAAAAACTAAAATCGAAAAACGCTGATGACGTGACAGTTTCTCCAAATTCTGAAACAACCAAAAGAATAAGAATAAAGAATTCTTTAGAAAAAACGGTTTCTAAACAACGATTATGCCATGATGCTAGATTGTGAAGATGAAAGTCAGGAGGATACATCCGACATTTGCAGCTTTGCAGCCCCGATGAAATTCTCAAAAAGTAACTATTGCACCGCAATAAAAATAAATAAATATAACTGAAAGTCCTCTCAACTGGTGCAGTGTCAGTCGAAAAGAATTTACAATTATGCCAATTTTCAAGTTTTTCAAGTTTGTCGCCTCGAGCGAGTAGTTATATAGAGGCGCAGGTTTGATTTACGACCCTTCGAAAAGTTTTTATTAAGTACAATGCTCCAATTTTTTAATTCAAGCACTAAAAAAACATTTAGTCTTATCATGAGTTTCATTTTCCCCGAACCGGTTCACTTTTCACTTTTGGTTTTAATGTATATATTTACTATGGGCGGAATACAAATTTTCGGCTGATTTTTTTTTCGCGCAAAACTCAGGATAAGGCAGATTATTGAATATTATTAAACCTTCCTTTTTTTATTAACCTAAATCACCTAATTTACCCATCCAAATTATTTCTTAAAAATACATGACATCCGCATTCGCATTCGCATCCGCGGATGTTAGCTTTTAAACATCCGCATCCGCATTCGCATCCGCGGATGTCTAAAATTCCACATTCGCAACATCCCTGGTATGAACGAACGTTTCTACTAAAATCCATGAAATTTCGTGAATTGGTCTACGCATAAACGTAGTAAATGACAGCATGAATTACAACAAACCATAAACATTTCGCCCGTTGATTCAGATCGATTCGCAATCAAGTTGGACGTCTTTCCCACAAATTTTTACAATTTGCGAGCAATCTTGTTGTGCAATTTCATTTTTACAATTTCACAGTTTCGGCATACATTTATAAAATTCATCAAAAGATCGTATTTCGGCTGAGTTATCCATTTTGTGTTATTTAGTGAACAAATAAAACTAACATATGATGTTTTTTGGTATGTTGTTACCACTAAAATAAACACAAAATAGAATGCAGTTATACAACATGGACATTAACGTTGCGACGAGTTGTACAACTTCACCAAATTACCAAGTTGAATCAACGGTCGCAATGTTTATGGCTTTCTTTAAGAAACACCGGGGCGAAAATTTCAACTGCTCCTGTAACACTACTATGAATTAGGGATGGGTAGTGAGGGGTTGAAATTCGATTTTTCCCGAATTTCGAACATTGCCCAACCATTCGATTATTCGATTCGAGATTCGGTGGTGCAAATTCGATTTAATTCGAATTTTTTCGAATTTAGCAAAATTTTTTTGAAGTGAAACTTATTAATCGAGTTCGGAGATATTTAACACCAAGTCATAAAATCTGTATCGTTCAATTAAAAAAAATTAAGCGTCGAATTAAAGGCTTGTCCTTTGGGTCTGCAACATAGTTTTAGTTCTAAGAAAAGGGTTGCAACAGGTTAGAAAATCAAATTAAAATAATCGCTTCCGTAGATGTTTGCGTTAAATATTTAACACCAAGTCATAAAATCTGTATCGTTCGTTCGATTTTCAAAAATGGGGTAGGTGTCAAATGAATGGGCTTGCCCTGTAGATGTGTAACATGGTTTTAGTTTTGTGCCATATGTAAGAAAATCAAAATCAAATTATATATAAGTTAAATAAATTACTCCAATATGGGTATCAATCGAAATGGTTTTGAATAAACTTTATTTTTTAATTACATTTGGGAAGGTTTCCACCTGTTTTAAAAGTCGAATTTAGTTAAAGAGGTGTTGTACTTAAAATACTATAATAATAGATTGGCGCTTACACATATGTTAGTGTTTGGCCGAGCTTCTCCTCCGATTTGTGGCGTGCGCCTTGATGTTGTCACACAAAGCGGAGGGACCTACAGTTTTACGCCGACACCGAACGGCGATTGTATTTTTAGGAGAAGCTGTTTTTCATGGCAGAAATACACTCGGAGGTTTGCTATT